CACTTTTCCATACAGTCTCAGACATAAAAGTAGGAGTTACCTTTAGTCTAAATCCTCACAGCTCTTTTGCTCCATGTACTCCTGATTCTGTTTAATATTCTTAGTGAGTTCAAGGTCCACCACAGACACACAGAAGTGGCTTCTGCCCTGTTGCACTTCAGTAACTTTTTACTAAAATAGAAAACATGCAGAAATGTGAAATCAATTAATTTTTCAAGAGAGAACTCCTTAAATCTGGGGGAATTAGTTCCTAGTAAGCAACCAGAGACTCATTGGTATCTAGGACAATATACCCAGACTGCTAAAAGACTGCTACCAATATCTGAGCGAAAACTGACTTTACCACAGTATCACCCAATCCAAACTGAAATTGTTTTCATACTCCTGATCTTACAGAGCATCTTAATAAGACACGAAAGGAGGCCCAAGTCAATAAGTATTACAATATGGAAAAAAAAGAGTGACCTTTATTCAGAGGATTTTTTTCAAAGAAGCAAGGGATTTAGCCATTAGTCTGGAAGCAAATGCATATTTAAATCTTCAAGTTGAATGAACCCTGGGGCATAACCGAAAGTAGTGGCAGAGACAATGTAAAGCCACAAAAGTAAATGGTGAAATTCAGGACTTTGTATGTATATATGCAAGCGTGTTGATTCAGCTACAGAACCTCCTGTCTTCCCCTTTCATGTGAGGGAAAGGTCAGAAACCAGAAACTGAAAATCTACAAAGAAGAAAACTACAGCACTTTTTAGGTGAATCAAAAGTGCTAAATCTAAAGGGAAGACGAAAATAAAATGTTAGCTTAACAAATGACATAGGATACTGAGGAAGAAAATACTCTTTGGTGGAAAATATAGCCATATGCTTGGTTTCATAACTCTACCCCTTTCAATTCTCTTGAAGAAATCATTATCATAAAGCAATAGGTGAAGGAGATGTAATCAGTTCTCTATTGAGCAGGCAGTGCAATTATTCTGCAGACTTCAGTTAAAAAAAAGAGAAAAGAATGCAAGATTTACATACAAGGCATTTTGAAAGACAAAAAAAAAGATAAAATGAAAAATTTACAAGTCCATGAAAGAGCCAGGCAGCAGGTCTAAGCCTCTTTTAAAAAAGGGAATAGTGCTACCATTTCATTTTTGTTAAAAAGCAAAATCATGCAGAGAAGAAGTTAACATAGTCAAGTATCTGAAATCATCACAAATATGTATATCTCGGGCAAGTAAATCATATAAAACTCAGATGACGAAATATATCTTAAAGATGTCCTTTGCTGAGATACCACAATAATTAAATGTTCTCCACTAATTATACGTGAAATCACTGCTTGTTGCCCACAGAGGTCCAGCACCCTCTTTCAATCAATTCACCCCTCCAGAAGTGGGGCACATGTCCCAAAAGATCTAAGCCTTCTCACAAGTGAATAAAAGGCTATGATCTTCATTAACCCCTGATCACAAAGAGGGAACTCCTGGATGTTAATTGGCACAGTAACACTGCCTCAGACGTGCTGTAAGGTAAACATGTAAGTGTTCTTCCTAAGAATGCCAAGGCAGTGGAAGGATTAAAAAAAAGGCTTATTTCGGATGCAAGGACTGCTTTTTAACAATGCAGCGCATTGCATCGGACCTTCAGGGGCAAAAGGCCATGCCCCAACTCCTCCAAAGATTTTTGTATCTTCTCTCTCTCCTCCTACACTCTCTCTGGCCCAAAGAGGCCTTGTACATGCCTGCAAACATGTTATCTCTCTGCATATCAGGGAGAGAGCGAGCTTGCTCACAGCTTCTCCCTGGAGCCTTCTCTGAAACACAGAAGGTAGAAAAATAAGGAAAAAAAAAATCTAACCCATTTGAGAAGGCATTTTACAGTTTTCCTGCCATAAGGGAAACAAGTTCCAGCTTTCCATTACAAATTCTTGCACAGTTGCACCTATCCTTACACGTACAGTGCAAACCAGACTGGAGACACTCTGCCCTGGAGGTACCAGGGCTAGTGGCTCATCACACCATCGTGGCCACCAGTGTAGATGCCAAGGACAGATGCAACAGCCCAGTCAGGCAGCTTGGCCCGGAATGATCACTGAACTCTGTGACTTACCCACACTGTGACCATCTCGGAGGCAAACGAAGGAGATTTCTCTCTCAGTTTTGTGTTCTGACTATTTATAAGGTGGTGACTATTAATAACAATTGTAATAAACTCCTCTCTGCTGAAATCATAGTAAGATGTCGCTATTTTGTGGGATTTGAGTTTATTTAAACACCCTGCTCCAGTTTTCCAACTGATACTTTTTTGCAGGCAATATTTTGAGAATCTGTTCCATTACATGAGATGGGAAGCTTTCAATTTGTTCAGAGATTTTGGTACAACCTTGCTGATATTCATGCCATACAAAAAGCAAAAAAANGTCCATCTGGAATATCTATGCCACTTTTCCATACAGTCTCAGACATAAAAGTAGGAGTTACCTTTAGTCTAAATCCTCACAGCTCTTTTGCTCCATGTACTCCTGATTCTGTTTAATATTCTTAGTGAGTTCAAGGTCCACCACAGACACACAGAAGTGGCTTCTGCCCTGTTGCACTTCAGTAACTTTTTACTAAAATAGAAAACATGCGGAAATGTGAAATCAATTAATTTTTCAAGAGAGAACTCCTTAAATCTGGGGGAATTAGTTCCTAGTAAGCAACCAGAGACTCATTGGTATCTAGGACAATATACCCAGACTGCTAAAAGACAGCTACTGAGTGAAAACTGACTTTACCACAGTATCACCCAATCCAAACTGAAATTGTTTTCATACTCCTGATCTTACAGAGCATCTTAATAAGACACGAAAGGAGGCCCAAGTCAATAAGTATTACAATATGGAAAAAAAAGAGTGACCTTTATTCAGAGGATTTTTTTCAAAGAAGCAAGAGATTTAGCTATTAGTCTGGAAGCAAATGCATATTGAAATCTTCAAGTTGAATGGACCCTGGGGCATAACCAAAAGTAGTGGCAGAGACAATGTAAAGCCACAGAAGTAAATGGTGAAATTCAGGACTTTGTATGTATATATGCAAGTGTGTTGATTCAGCTACAGAACTTCCTGTCTTCCCCTTTCATGTGAGGGAAAGATCAGAAACCAGCAACTGAAAATCTACAAAGAAGAAAACTACAGCACTTTTTAGGTGAATCAAAAGTGCTAAATCTAAAGGGAAGATGAAAATAAAATGTTAGCTTAACAAATGACATAGGATACTGAGGAAGAAAATACTCTTTGGTGGAAAATATAGCCATATGCTTGGTTTCATAACTCTACCCTTTTCAATTCTCTTGAAGAAATCATTATCATAAAGCAATAGGTGAAGGAGATGCAATCAGTTCTCTATTGAGCAGGCAGTGCAATTATTCTGCAGACTTCAGTTAAAAAAAGAGAAAAGAATGCAAGATTTACATACAAGGCATTTTGAAAGACAATAAAAAAGATAAAATGAAAGATTTAACAAGTCCATGAAAGAGCCAGGCAGCAGGTCTAAGCCTCTTTTAAAAAAGGGAATAGGGCTACCATTTCATTTTTGTTAAAAAGCAAAATCATGCAGAGAAGAAGTTAACATAGTCAAGTATCTGAAATCATCACAAATATGTATATCTCGGGCAAGAAAATCATATAAAACTCAGATGACGAAATATATCTTAAAGATGTCCTTTGCTGAGATACCACAATAATTAAATGTTCTCCACTAATTATATGTGAAATCACTGCTTGTTGCCCACAGAGGTCCAGCACCCTCTTTCAATCAATTCACCCCTCCAGAAGTGGGGCACATGTCCCAAAAGATCTAAGCCTTCTCACAAGTGAATAAAAGGCTATGATCTTCATTAACCCCTGATCACAAAGAGGGAACTCCTGGATGTTAATTGGCACAGTAACACTGCCTCAGACGTGCTGTAAGGTAAACATGTAAGTGTTCTTCCTGAGAATGCCAAGGCAGGGGAAGGACTAAAAAAAAGGCTTATTTCGGATGCAAGGACCGCTTTTTAACAATGCAGCGCATTGCATCGGACCTTCAGGGGCAAAAGGCCATGCCCCAACTCCTCCAAAGATTTTTGTATCTTCTCTCTCTCCTCCTACACTCTCTCTGGCCCAAAGAGGCCTTGTACATGCCCGCAAACATGTTATCTCTCTGCATACCAGGGAGAGAGCGAGCTTGCTCACAGCTTCTCCCTGGAGCTTTCTCTGAAACACAGAAGGTAAAAAAATAAGAAAAAAAAAATCTAACCCGTTTGAGAAGGCATTTTACAGTTTTCCTTCCATAAGGGAAACAAGTTCCAGCTTCCCATTACAAATTCTTGCACAGTTGCACCTATCCCTACACGGGGAGTGCAAACCAGGCTGGAGACATTCTGCCCTGGAGGTACCAGGGCTAGTGACTCATCACACCATCGTGGCCACCAGTGTAGATGCCAAGGACAGATGCAACAGCCCAGTCAGGCAGCTTGGCTCTGAATGATCACTGGACTCTGTGACTTACCCACACTGCAACCATCTCGGAGGCAAATGAAGGAGATTTCTCTCTCAGTTTTGTGTTCTGATTATTTATAAGGTGGTGACTATTAATAACGATTGTAATAAACTCCTCTCTGCTGAAATCATAGTAAGATGTTGCTATTTTGTGGGATTTGAGTTTATTTAAACACCCCGCTCCAGTTTTCCAACTGATACTTTTTTGCAGGCAATATTTTGAGAATCTGTTCCATTACACGAGATGGGAAGCTTTCAATTTGTTCAGAGATTTTGGTACAACCTTGCTGATATTCATGCCATACAAAAAGTAAAGAAAAAAAAAGAGAAAAATAATCAAATAAATGAAAAACATTTCTAATTTCTAACTTGATCTCTAGCTACTTTTATGTTCAAAATATTTTTTTCAGTCTCAAAGCCATAAATATCTGCTACTAAGAAAAAATTTACAGAAAACATTGGAAAAAATGAAGCAATACCGGTATCTTTTCAAGCTGAAAATATACCTTTTTTTCTTAGCTTCATATTCTGAACTGCTGCTCATTCAAACACAACTGTCTTTTCAGAACACAGAGTTTGTAGGTTCTATTAAAGAGCAACAACCAAAATTAACTTACATTTTCCTTTGTCCTACTCAGAAAAACTAAAATAGAACAAATCCAAGAATATGAGTCCTTTGCCAACTTTGTGTCATTTTTCTATAACTTGTTTCCTGGACTTCAGAATAAGACATAACATGTCTAATATTTCCGCCACCCCTGCCCTAAGTAATAAAAAACTCTGCTACTCAGCCCAGATTCTAATTATCCAGTCTCCAAGGTTAACTTCAATGTGGAGCTGTAAATAGAGTAATACACTGTGTTCAAATAAAGAAAACATTTGCAGAAAAATCACCATATGGACCCTATTTAGACAGATGATCTAATTATCATAATGACCAACGAGCTGATGCAGAAAAGGTTTCAGAGCAGGATGCTTCTTTCTGGACTTTGCCCTCCCATCTTGTACTACAGTAGAGGTGAAGTTGTTCTCTGAAACCTTGCAACCAATACATTCTCACTGTTCATGACAAAGCTTTTCATTTCTAATATGTAAGAGGTATCCTTTACCCACTTTAAGTTCCAAGCAAAGTTGCAGTAATCAATGGGAAAAATAAGATTGGTAATGAAGACTGAAGATGAAATTTTGTGGAAGAAGCTGTTTTAAGAGAGAAGGAAGAAGAATGATTCTAATATTACAAGCGACAGTGAGATGTATGTCAGTATGACTGGTTTTGAACTAACTACTATAAATGTGTGCCTAAATTGTGTTTGCACTTCTTTTCAGTCTTTCTCACTCCTGTTTGTGTTCTCATGAACTTCACTTATCACATACCCTTCTTGCACGGACAACACAAAATACATGACAAGTCCACAGTTATTTTTAGTATGAAGCTAAATTATACAGATATCTGAAAACACAATCATTCACAGCCTTTACCATTTAAAAAGTTTTTACCACCACAATGTACTAAACTGTAAGAAAACCTGCTAATGCAGGCTCCCACATAACCTTAATGCACAGAAAATCAATGTGGAAACATCCATAGTGCCCTTAACCTTAAAATACCCTACATTATAGTCCACATTATATGTTCATTATAACCCAAAACATCTGTGCACAAGCACCTTAACCATCATTCATGTGTCAATACATATCACAGCTCAGAGAGATCTGACTCATCACAAGGTGTTTACTCACCATTAGAAAAGAGAGAGAGACCACTTACTCAACCAGGTATGTACAGAGATCATCAGGGATTTCTGGAGGGTTGTTCTCAACAGCAATGAGGAGCTAAGCCTTCAGGGTTCCTACCAAACTTAGCAATTGCTGGACTACCAAAGCACTTTAACTGGAAGAGGTGAACCATGAGTGCAATAACATTAGGTGAAGTGGAGAAATAACAGTTCTATTCTGCATCTATCCTAAGTTTCTTCCATTTGCCAATGACCAAAGTCTGCAGTTGATTCAAAGTTCAAGTTCTCAGCTAACCTGGGTTTTGTCTTTTGGCATCAAATTCTCTGCTTTTATTGAGGATCACAGCCTTTAGCTAATTACAGCCCTGCACCCAAATACACTGCTATACAGAATATATCAGACAAAAAAAAAGTGGAAGATTTTATGAGCTGTAAAATAGTTTTCAATAACAAACAACACATACTTTATTAATCACTGTAAACTCTCATTTTAAACAATTCATATTACCCCAACACCTATATAAGGTTATTTAATAATCAAAAGCAGTAGCGTACAAAGTGACTTTCAGTCAGAAGCAAAACATCCTTGATTTCAGGAACGTTCTGAGTGGAGATCTGTGGGTGGAGAGATCTGTCCTCAGGAGAAAAAAGCTTTTAAGTTAGATAAAGATTCTTCAGAGGTAATTAAATGAATCATCAAGAATACTATCACCTCTCTTTGGGAATTGGCAAGATAAAAATGGAAAATGAATATCCATTTTTTGTTTATTGTAATTCTTTTCAGTATTACCACCAATCTTAGAAAGCAACCTCAGGCAACATATGATGAAAAGTATACGTTTTAGCAGACTTAAAAGGCTTAAAAAGCAGAAGGCACCGCAATTAACGACTTCATACGACTTCAAGTTATATTACGGTATTTTATAGCCAAGAAAAAGTATACAGTCAAAAAAGCATTCAATGAGAGAGTAGAGCTTTCTTCAGCGCACAACTTGGCTCTTTGGGATTAGTTCAAGGCTCTCAGTGACGCGAATGCCGCCCACATCACTGATTTCCATGAGAGCTGGTCCAGAATCTATAGCTCTGATTCACTGCAGCACCTTAGCTCATAAGTAGGGCAGCACAGTTCAATGACTCCAGTCATTTACTTAATGTTAAGCACACGCTCAAGTGTTTTGTTGGATTAATGCCTGTGGGCAGAGTGGCTCTACATGAGCTGTATACACCAAAAGACAATGAAAGAAAGCAAGTAAAATTTAGTGATGGGAAGGGCACAGCTGCCTGCTTTATACACGGAAATATCTGCGTGCCTATGAAAGATATTAACACTAATGACCAAGAGTAGTCGAGTTTCCATCACAAAAGAGCAAAGGTAACTAGCATAATACAATAAAGCTTTTACTACCAAAAAAAGGGATTTCCCACCCCTGAGGAATATTAGGCTATAAAACCTTTGCCCTGGGTGGCCTTAGTAAATAGTATAGTTGGGCGTAAGGAACCAAAAAAATCTGCTTTTTTTATGCTTGAGAATTCTTTAGAAACTCCTTTCCTACAATATACAATTATGGAAGAAAAAATATAACCTCTCTACCATTTTTTAACAGTCCTGTTTCAAATGCAGTGCCTTTTTTTTTCAACATGCAAATATTAATGCTGCAGTAAAATCAGCAATTATTGATAGATGAAAATGTTTAGAAGAAACATTCTTTAGTGTGGTCAGCTTATTACATACTTTATCTCTAATTTACATCCATAACTAGTGCTTTTGTAAGGAAAGCATTTTATTGGTCAGGCTAGTAATTTGTTTTTAAAGCAACATGAAGAAGTGTTTTGAGATATTCAGATTTTATATAATAACTAAAAAGGGAATAAAACATTGGCAAGAGATGCACAAAATTGCTTTCATCTTTTGTTTCCAGATTTTCCAGCTTGCTGTGTCCCTTGCAGAGATCATAGTACCAAAATGCTATTTCACAAGTTAAGATGATTCACAGTAGGGAAGCACTTTCTTATATTATTTTCATCAAAAGAAGCTTACATCCGAATATTACCATTAGGCTGGTAATTTACACTTTGGTGAAAGGGTCAGGAGTATTCAATTTTTTTGATGACTTGATATTAGCTTGAAAGAGAATTTTTAATAACTCTTGTAATTTGCCACTGTAGTTTTTGCCATCCAGTGTCTTTGAATTATATATGTTTTATGAAACAAAACTCTGAGAGAATTAATGTTTCAAGGCTTTTCAGATTTCAGAGTAGCCTTTGCTACTGTCATCCAAATGGAGGGTCTCGCATCTCAAAAATCGTACCTTGGTGTCCTTGACATTCAATGTATATTTCAAACAGTAATGAAAGCAATTATGCTTTTTTATATTAATATTCAAAAGCACACAGACCCTACATACAGCCAGGTATCCTTCAGCACTGTTTCTCCCTCCAAAATAAACAGAAAGTCGTAACGGGGTTTACAGCAGCAAGTGGTTTTCCGAAAGACTGTAAAATATTACTGCCAAGTACTACAAGTGGCATAAGAAACATCAGCTTGTTGAATTTGGACACTGTCTCAGGAAGAAACCTATTTGATCAGGGGCTCTTATAAAGTAAGGGTCAAGTCCTTTCGCTTGATGAATTGATTGATGATGACAGCTGGTCACCCGTGGTCCAGCGCAAGCAAACAGAGAAGCTGAGCAAATATTTGCTGTGTGTTAAGGGAATTGTATCACATAGAAGTGCCATATGTGCTGACACTGAGGATAATGAGAATAAAATATCATTTTATCTACCGCATTGACATCGGGTCAGATCTTCTACCCTTGTAAATCGTTCCAGCTCCACTGGCCATAATGAAGGTATGGAGAATGCAATTGCTGCAGAGGATATGGCCCATAAATTCATTAATCCTGAAGGATGTATATAATCCAAATGGGAACAATATCCTAATTGGAAATTGACAGGCCTTCTGTTTGTTTCACTCAGGTAATTAATTATAGAAGCGCTGTAAGACAACAGTCTTATCTTCTGCCCTTTTCAATGTTCTTTCACATGTAAAGAACTTAATGATATATACCTTCTGTTGCATATAATACTCACTTATATTGCTAAGGGTGAAAGATTGTCTGCTTGGAGTTCATCGAGGTTTTACAAGGTTTGGGTGGGTTCTGCCCTGAGTTTTCTTTTCCCTCTTTGAAAAACAGGTCGAAATAAGAAAGAGAATGAAAAAACAGAGAGTGATGCTTTATCAAAAACACAGGATTAATTCCCAGGCAGATGTCTCATTAGTTGAGACATAGTTATAGGAAGACAAACCCAGTCAAACAAGTGAAAAGGCTCCTGAGGTAAACAAAAGGCAGTTCTGTCATCAGAAACAAAGAGAATCTCCTGCCTAAAGTACAGGCAGCTGGAGCTTGGCACATTTGGGAAGAATCAGCAGATTCACATTCCAAGCTGATGGTCCTCCAAAGACTATGGGGAGCGATGATGAACTGTTTTTTATTTTTCTCCTGGGACAGGGCAGTCATTTCATTTCTGCCGGGGAAGGCTGTGGGTGGAAAGGCTCTGAGGCTCACTTGGTTTTCCGCCTGGTCACCTGGCTGTTTTACTTGCCATCAAGTTCTTCAGCTTTCTTGCTGTAGCCTTGACCAGTTCCCCTTCCTTCCTCACCACGCACTCACCCCAATACACATATTAACCCTCTGACCCTAATCCTAGTGTTTGGCCCATAGAGACATGATGGCACATATTAACTGCAGATTATGTGCCATTTCTTTCATCTTGCCTTCACTTCTCTTGTGCTGATGAGTGAATCCCTTTGCAGTCCTCTGTTAAGATATTATACACAACTTTAAAAAGGAATAGCATTATTTGGATTTTCTAGACAGTGACTGCAGGTGTCTTTGTTTCTTCCATTACACTGAACTGCTCACTGCTGAAGTGGGACAAATTAGCCAAGGAAAAGTGTCCTTGACTGGCTTGCCACTGTCAATAACACTGAAGCTCAAAAGGAAATAATACGAGTGAGAATGGCAGTATTCAGAAAGATAATTTCTGGAAGGAGTGCTAGGTGGTAGCTGGAACTCATACTGATGTATTAAGTGATATGCACAAGCAAATGTAATCTCACTCCTAAACTTTTGGAAAAAAAAAAAAAAGAAGAAGAAAGCCATATTTCCACTCTTTGCTTTTCGTGTATTAAACCTGTCCCTCTGCGCACCTCCTGAGTGAGGTACGAGACACCCAGAGCTCCTTCTGGGACAGTGTAAATGCTGAACAAAATGAAGACACATGCCACATGAACCCAAAGCCTTGATTCCTGGCAACTGCACTTCACCAAGACTGGCACTTACACTGTAACGTATCAAGAGAGCATTACAAAAGCTTTTGCTTGGCAATGACAAACCCAAAGCAGAAAAAAACACTGGGGAAAAAAAAAAAAAACAAACCCAAAACTAAAAACAAACAAACAAACAAAACCTCCTCAAAAGTTTGAAGCGTATTGTACAGTACATGATCTATTTATGTACATGATCTAACAGGCACAGGAGTGACTGTTTTGAAAGAAGTCAGCAAGGCCTATGCCTGATGGCATGCACTGATGAATTTATTTGTATATGCCCGCTGAGATAAATGGCAGGAGAAAGATTTACAGGAATTTATATCCAGAGGTATAAATGACCCTGGAGCCAGAAAGATAGGGGGACAGAGGTAGTCAATTAAAACACCTATTATACTTAAAATGTTATGTCTGACAAGTCTACTTGATCAAATGACTGTGTAAAAAAACTCATCTCAAATTGCTGAAAGCATGCAAAATAAATATGGCTGGATAAGCGTTAATACTAAACTGCAGCTTACCTGACATATAGCAACCCCTTCTTTCATATTAATCTTATTTGACACTTTACAACTTTTCTGACCCCTTACTCCCTAACTTTTCAACTCCTCCTTGCTCAAAAGGCAGCACCATTGCAATCAAAGATCTGTTTCTCATCTTAAGCGGTCCCATTCTTTTCCTTTATTGCCTTTTATGGTTTCTTTACAGGGTGAATTTGGCAGTGGATAATCTTGTTATCCTATAGACAATCCTGTTTCCTGGATATGCTC